TGTGTATCTATTTTTAAATATCATCATGATAGGGATTAAATGAAACAAAAAGTATATATACAGTAGCTACTTGATCAATACTTACTCAACCTTATTCAATACTTATTCAACCTGTATGATGAGCAAATAATCTGAGAAGCTGGATTATATGAAAAACGTGGCATCAGGATTGGAGGAAGACTCATTAACAACCTGCATTATGCAGATGATACAACCTTCCTTGCTGAAAGTGAAGAGGACTTAAAATATTTACTGATGAAGATCAAAGACAGACCACATTCAGTATGGATTGCATCTCAATGTAAAGAAAACACAAATCCTCACCACTGGACCAATAAACAACATTCTTACCAATGGAGAAAAGATTAAAGTTGTCAAGGACTTCATTCTTCTTGGATCAACTATCAACACTTATGGAAGCAGCAGTCAAGAAATCAAATAACATATTTCATTAGGCAAATATGCTGCACAAGACCTTTTTAAAGTGTTGAAGAGCAAAGATGTCAGCTTGAGGACTAAGGTGCACCTGACCCAAGCCATGGTATTTTCAATAACCTCATATGCATGGGAAAGCTGGACAGTGAATAAGGAAGACCAGAGAAGAATTGATGCTTTTGAGTTATAATGTTGGAGGAGAATATTGAAAGTGCCAAGTGCTGCCAAAAGAACGAACAGATCTATTCTGGAAGAAGTGTAGCCAGAGCGCTCCATGGAGGCCAAGAAGGCCAAACTTTGTCTCTCATACTTTGGACAAACTGTCAGGAGGGACCAGTCGCTGGAGAAGGATATCCTGTTTGGTAAGGTGGAGGGTCAGAGAAAAAAAGAAAGACCCCAATGAGATGGACTGGCCAAGTGGCAGCATTGATGGACTCAAGGTTGGCAACAGTAGTGAGGTTGGCCCAGACAGTGTTTCGTTCTGCTGTGCATAAGGTCACTATGGGTTGCTACCGACTCCATGGAACCTAACAACAACAACTTGATCAATAAGATTTTTTAAAAACTTCAGGAGTCATGCTTCCTTCATTGGTCTCACCAAATCCATTGCCGTCGAGTCGATTCCAACTCCTAGCAAGCCTTGCAGGACAGAGTAGAACTACCCCACACAGTCTCCAATGTTGTCATCTTTAGGGACGCAGACTGCCTTATCTGTCTCCCACAGAGGGACTGGTGGGCTTGAACTGCCAACCTTTCTGTTAGTACTGTGCCCCCAGTAAAGTGCCATTTAAATGGGATAGAGGGAAGAATTTTGTATCCATGCTTGGGCTCCAGCAGAGGGTATCAGAATCCTAGGGAACCTCAATTAAATGGTGTTGGAACTAACTCGATAGTACTTAACAACAACAACAGCAAAACTAGAATACTGGAGCAGTTTTATGTTAACAGCTAGTGATAAGAGTAATCTTTAACAAGACATTCCCAGAGGGACGGTGAGTTTGGGGACCAGGGCTCAGCAATCCCTCCTCATGCAGAGATTTCCCTCTATCTTCAAACAAGAGACTTTATGTTATTAGAGAAGATGTCATTAAGTATTGGTATCTCCTGCTCGTGTTCAACCGGTCATCAACACCTCATGGGGAGTCAGGTAAGAAGTGCCTGCTTCTTAAAATCCTCTTAATGGAGTTTGGTACGAGCAGTGGTTATTGTTGTTAAGTGTGCTGCCAAGTTGGTTCCGACTCACAACGACCCTGCTGTATAGGGTTTCTGAGGAGTGACTGATGGGTTTGGACCGCCAACCTAGTGGTTAGCAGTCCAATGTTTATCCTACCATGCCACACCAGGACTCCCGGGAGCAGTGGAGACGGCTATAATTTGGAAACAGGAGGGCATTTGAAAGAGTGGACAGGTCTAAGCAGAGAACACAGCCCAAAGGGTCAGACTTGTCTAGAACCATAACTGTCCCTGGTGCTGATGACCATTATGCCCCTTGGTCATGGTCTACAGTATCCCCTTTACTGTCCCTTCCTGTCCCCAATCCTAGACTTCAGTGGTCTCCCATAAAGAAACTCCTTGCTGGGAGGAGTCTGCGTCCACCTAGCGCAGCTCTGAGGAGTCGAATTTGCTTAAGAAACACTTTCTAGAGGCCCAGTGCTGCACCAGAGCAGAGCAGTTGCTCTCACTGATAAATTGATAAATTGATTAAAATAATATGTTTTAAGCACCATAAAAAAAAAATAAAAAAAAATCAATAATGTCATAAAGTGACTTCCTCCCTGGGCCTTTTCTGTAGTGTTTCAGCACAGTGCACGCACTGAACGGGTTTCGGCTCTATGATCATTTTCCATAGTAACCACTTTCAAACCACTAAATTATTTCCCTATGAGCCTCATGTGGCTGGATCAATCAGAGGCCTTCCCCTGGCTCCTCTGTTCACCACTCCACTGACAGAATGATCTTCTCACAGCACAAATCTGAACACAACACCCCTGAAGGAAACACTCCTATGACTTTTCAGTGCTTTTAAGATAAAGACCAGAATCCTGATGAGGCCTTCTGAGGCCTGGTACAACCAGCCCCCCCAAACCTCCTCCAGCTTTCCCTCTCACTGTCAGCCTCCTTCCCTGTGCCGCCAACACACGATTCTTGCAGCTTCTCAATGGAGACTGGCTCCTGTCTCTCAAGCTGATCTTGCTGGTCCCTCTGCCTGAACAGTCCTACACTTCCCCTTCTCCACCCCCTTCATTCTCCCTCAAGACCAGAAGGAATCACCTTTTCATACTGCTCAAAGCTCTGAGCACCTCCTGATTGCTTGTTACCAGCTGTCCAAGCACCATAGCTAGAATTTTCTGGGAGTAATTTCCTGGTATTAGCCCCAGTGGGGTGCTGTAGGATAAGCACTGGCTCATAATGGTTTGAACTGCAAGACTGGTGGTTCAAACTTACCAGCTGCTCCTCAGAAACCCTATGCAGGGTCACTATGAGTCAGAACCAACTCGAAGGCACTTCACAACAACATGTAAAGAATATCCTGCCTTCCCACTAGACTATAACATACCTGGTAGCAGATTCCATGTCAACTTTTCTCATCCCTGTAACTCCCAGCCAGCCTGGGAAGAATGAATGAATACAATGGCTTGATGATGGTCTTGTGGCCTGCACTGGCTTCTATGAAAAATAGATGATCTTTGTTATCTAGAGAAGTCCTGGTATGAAGAAAGCACTGGACCAAAAGGCCAGTTTGTACCACAAGGTCGGCAGTTCAAACTCACCAGCCGCTCCTTGGAGACCCTAGACAGGGTCGTTATGAGTTGGAACTGACTCAATGGCACTGAACAGCAACAACGTCTAAAGAAGTCAGCGTTTTGCCCTATCTGCCTCCATCCAGATCAGCACATCCACAATGGCCTTTTTGCTGATTTAATTGTGAGTTTAGGATGGCCCTGGCTCCATGAGCACATTGACACTAAAAGTGACTTTCTAAACACAGATCGGATCAAATCATGCCCACCCGAGATTTTTAGGAGACAGGAAGGCATTTTAACAGAGTCATTTTATCTTTGTGGAATAATTTAGAGTTTTTCTACTACATTCTACTACAGCCAACTCAATGGCAGCTAGCAGCAATATGTATTAATAGCAGAAAACGTATGAAGCGGAGAAAGGAGTAGAAAGATCACGGAATTTTTCCATGAACTTTTTGAGTGTCCCATATATATATTTAAAATGATATTAAAATACAATTTTTCCATGAGGTTTTTGAAGCCCCCTCATAAAACAAAGAAGTTGTTGTTGTTGTTGTTAAGTGCCATTGAGTCGGTTCTGACCCATAGCGACCTTGTACAGGGTTTCCGAGGTTATAAATCTTTACGGGAGTAGAAAGCCTCATCTTTCTCCCGCAGAGCGGCTGGTAGTTACGAACCGCTGACCTTAAGATTCGCAGCTCGATTCGTCACCACTATGCTACCAGAGTGTATGTATATATAGGGGTGCTCGTGTGATGCTGTAAGATAAACAGTGGACTGCTAACCATAATGTTGGAGGTTCAAAACCACCAGTCACTCCTTGGAAACCCTATGCAGGATTGCTATGAGTTGGAACCAACTGGATGTCACAACAACAACACATATGAGGTTGGGGGAAGCGCAGTGACTCCATGCTATAAGCACTGGACTGCTAATGACAGGTTCCACAGTGTGAGCCCTCCAATGACTCTGCAGGAGAAAGATGAGGCTTTCTGTTCCTGAAAAGGTTTAAAGCCTCAGAAACCCTATACAGGGACGCTATGAATTGAAACTGACTCAGCGGTCCTTAAAAATATGTATGAGGGGACCTCAAAAAAGTTCATGGAAAAATGGTATTAAAAGATAGTGGAATTTTTTCCATGAATTTTTTGAAGCTCCCTTGTATGTTGCTGGTAAGTGCTGTTGAGTGGTTTCTGACTCATGTGACCCTGTATAGGGTTTCTGAGAAGCGGCTATTGGGTTTGAACTGCCAACCTTGTGGTTAGCAGTCCAGTGATGGCCCTACAGCGCCACCCCAGTGACTCCATATACGAGAATAGAACTGTGCCCTAGGTTTTTTTAGGCTGTGATCTTCACAGGAGCAGGATGCTAGGTTTTCCCCTGCAGAGCCTGGGGGTGGGTTCTCACTGCCTACCTTTTTGTTAGCAGCCAAGCACTTTTGTAACCAGAGCTCCTAAGCGCTAGCTTTACTGCTCAACACTGTTCTGTGTATCATCACACTACCTCAGTTCTGTATTGTCAGACTGATGAGTTGTGTTCCAGGAACACCACAATCAACTCAGCCTCCATCAGCTCATCTGTGCACACTGGCATCAGGTTAGAAAACACAATGAGGGCAGCCGGGAAGGGAAACATTTGTGCAGCTGGCAGTTCATTCATTCATTCAGCATTTCCTGAACTTTCTATCTCCCTTGAGCAGACCTGCCTAGCCCACTCCCTGTAGCGCATGGAACTTTCCCTCTACCGCACATGGCCTTTTATGGGATAGTGTGTCAGAAAGTCATCAGAGATAAGTCAGGTGGAAACGTGCCAACAGCGTACCGAAAGCATGCCCGCAGTCCTGGCCCTGCAGCGTTGAGTACTCCAGGCAGCCGGCTCTCTCTTCCAGGGGCGGGCAGGGCGCCCCACCGTTCTGAGGCTCCTGCCGCACGCTGCGCCTCCGCACCCTGGCGGTGGGCTTGCACTGCTCCGCACAACCGCTCCAGGGGCTCCACTCCCCTACGATGCATGGACGAGCTGGAAAAGAACACGAATATACCTGAATATACCAACCACATGCCAGATTCTCTAGCCAATATAAACATTCAAGATAAGCTTTGATGGGGCCCTTTTTCCGAAGGAACACACAAAACCTCAGCCGTCCAGTGAACAATGGCCCCTCCCCCGCTAATGTTTGATTGGAGATCAGGTACCTCTTACTGGCAAGCACATCTGTCCGGATACTGATGGTGGGAATGAACCAGAGATCCACCCGAGTTAATGAGACACATGCTTGGCCCTCTGGGCACTTCCTCATGCTCCCAAGAACCAAAGGACACCTACGTTCCTTTTGTTTTACTCCAATGTTAACTTTTTTCTTTCCTGCTCATACATTCTTCATCTTGTAACAGTAACACACATTCACTATAGAAAATGTAGAGGGGCAAATGAAGCGTAACTTCCTCCACACACACCAATAATCTCATCAGCAACCCAGTTCCATTTTTTAAAAACTTTTTATTGTGATTTGAGTTGAGCAAATTGATTTTCCATTCATCAATTCACACGCATTTTGTTTCCTATAATCCCTTCAAAGTAACAGTACTCTTCCCATTTCCTTTGAGTCCCTTTCCACTTGGCCTTCTTTCCAATGTTTTCCTGCCTTCCGGTGGGATCTATCCCTGGGTAAATGTTATCCTTTTGATCGCGTTCAGTTGATTTTCCTAAGGAGTGCATACCTCAGAGTGTTCATTCACCTTCTCAGGTCAAATCTTATCAGCTAATGTATCCCCGTAAGAGAGCTAACTCTGGGCCACACCAAGAAGCCTCTATACTTTTTGCTCTCCTGGATGCTGTATTTTTATCCTCTGTGGCTTGGTGAACCAGGGAACATGAGAGTAGGTGTTCAGGGAGGGAAGTCCTCAGGATCTCATGTGAAGAGGCAGAATCAGGATGAGAATGTGGCCCTAGCATCTGGTTCTTTCTATCACTCTATGCTCCTTGACACAGTAGACAGGTTTTCTAACCCAGTTGGACACTGAAGGAGCCTGCTGAGCCAGGTGACCCCTGAAAGCCAGCACTGAGTCTTAGATTAAGCCAGAAGCTGGGTCCTGGTCACTGATTGTTAAATTGACTTACCAAGTCTCAAGATGGAATTTAAAACTCAATTTTCTGGCCATGATTGTAAAATCAGTGTAGATTTTGCATTTCATTTTCCAGCTTAAATTCTAATGAATCTTGTAAGAGGACTGTGGCAGTGTAGTGGTTACGAATTGGGCTGCTAACATCAAGGTTGGCAGTTCGAAACTACCCAGCTGTTCCACGGGAGAAAGATGAGATTTTCTGCTCCCGTAAAGATTTGCAGCCTCAGAAACCCTGTGCAGGGTCACTATGAGTCGGAACTGACTCCACAGTATTTAGCAAAAACAATTGTTTTAAAATGGAGTTATTTCAGGACTTAAGATATAAGAAAAGGCAAGAACAAGAAGGCAGAAGATCCTACCTGTGAACTAAATGTCGAGTTAGTTGGTGTTTCTCCCTCTGAGTGCAACCCACTTTCCCTCTCATCTCACACTATCAAGTCTATAACGTTTCAATAAGAAAATACCCTGATTTCTTTGAAACCTAGATCTGGACTTTTGATAGCTTGTACTTGAAAACTCACTTTTCCCTGGATGCATTCTAGTTCAGGGTTCACGGCTTTTGGAAGAAGTGGTATTTGGCAGTACACAGCTACTCCTGACATGAATAGGGTCACAAGCAATATAAACATCTGTCAGTAATTCAAACACTTTAATAACTGTTTTAAAACACGCTTTCATTAATCATCTAAAAACCCGTAGGTATTATATGTCAACTATGACAGAATTAAGAACAGGCCACATCAGAGTTCACTCCCAATATCCGCCATGTATATACATCGTTTGGAAAATCAATACCAGGTCACTTCCTGCTCCTGTCATCTCCTGTTGATCCCTCCCATTTTATTTTAATGAGCCCATGATTTAGTGCTGTGGGTTAATGCACCAGACTGCAAAGTTGTTTGAACTGCAAGGTCAGCGGTTCAAGCTCACCAGCTGCTCCTCGGAAACCCTATACAGGGTCACTATGGGTCAGAACTGACTTGAAGGCACTTAACAACAACAATAGAAAGACAGGCGTTTAAAAGAGACTCCTGGCTGGGACCCTGTTGAGGAAGCCTTTTGTCTTTATTTCTTTTAATGCTTCTCTTCCTTCCCCAACCCCTTCACCTCAGAGTCTAGCAAGTTCTACCCTGGTAAATATACAATACACAAATAGAGATATGACATAAATATCCAGATACAGATGATGAAGAAATACTGAGAACTGAAAATTCAATGAGAAAATTATGACCATGAGAGATACTAGTAACCAGTTGCCATCAAGTTGATTGTGATGTATGATAATCCCATGTGTGTCCAAGTGAAACTGTGTTCCACAGGCCTTTCATTGACTGGTTTCTCATAACAGATGGTCAGTTCTTTCTTTCAAGGCACCTCTGAGTGTACTGAAACCTTCTGGTTAGCAGCCAAACACATTAACCTTTTGTACCACCCAGACACTTAGTAATACACGTGTTTGGTATTTCGTTTTAAATACACTTTTAAAGTTTCAATAAAATTATATACCTCAAAGATTAGCATTTGGGCATCACTATAAATAAAAAATTTGCCATGGCATCAATTCAGAAGTTAGTGATATGTCCTTGGACTAGACTCTATCTATATAGCAAAAAATGACATTGGGCATACATAGTTTTCTACTTGAATTTATTATTTCAGTATTTATTCAACATCTGTGTCTGTGGATATTTGTCACATCCAGTGTATAGTTTGATTCCACAGTTAAAGTGCTCAATTTACAGAGTCATTCATTGTGCCTACTGGTTAAGATTGTCCTTGGAAAAATGCTATTTTCCATATTTCCAATCCATGACTTTAAAATCCTCACAAAGACATCCAGAAAATTCTGAACAATGGCATCTCCATGGTTTAATTGCAAGGCAAGATGGGGAGGAAAACGATCTGTAAAATCATATGAATAAAAAGGTGTCCCACAAAATATTTTGAGTTGAAAGATTTATCTGAGATGTTTGTTCCTACTCTGCACAAAAGATTCTATTCTTGATTCATTTGTGAACTTTTGTTGATCTGAATTGCAGTTCCTTGTAGATCACAAGACGCCTTTGGTCACGGAGGTTAGGGGAAGTACAAGAAACTTCTGACTGATTTATTACCTCAAGTCATATATTACAGCTGCATGGCAAAGAGTTCCTTTTGAACTATTCCATTAGTGTTCTTGTTCCCTTTCTCGTCACAGATCTTTCTGTTCAAACTAATTCAAATCTCTATATGGCGTTTCTTACAATCTGACTTCCTTACTCTTCACTATTTAGTCTGACATACTGTTACTTTGTAAACGGCACAATCTCCTCTGATTTCCATCTTGTCACTGCTTTCCGATTTCTTCATACTCAGTTAGGATCTGGTGACATCACCCCACCTCTTTCAGGGGAATGAAGCCTACAGTGAATGGCAGTCGGAAAGTTCAATACAATTTTTCTTTTTTGTGTAAACTCAACCTCATATGTTTGAATGGTCAAGTGCTCTGCTTCTAACCAAAAGTTAGGCTGTTTGAATCCACCTAGAGGCACCTAAGGAGCTCTGGTAGCGTAGTGGTTACGAATGGGGCTGCGAGCTGCAAGGTCAGCAGTTCAAAACTACCAGCGGTTCCACGGGAGAAAGATGAGGTGGTCTGCTCCCGTAAAGATTTACAGCCTCGGAAACCCTGTGTAGGGTTGCTATGAGTCGGAACTGACTCCACGGCACACAACAACAACAACAAGAGGCACCTATGAATAAAGTCCTGGTGATCTGCTTTCAAGAGCTCACCACCATTGAAAACCCTAAAGAATATGTCTCTGCAACATGGGGTCACCAAGAATGAGAGTTGACTCCAAGGCAATTTGGTTCTCGGTAATATTCCTGTTGGATTTCCCCAGAAATGAACTTGGAAATGCGGATTTAAATGGAAGTAATTTATTAGGGACATGAACCCTGGCAGCACCCAGAGGAAACAGAAAACAGACAGAGAAGAGAAAGAACCAATAAAAAATATGCAAATGAACAGGTGATGATGGGGCAATGGGACTCAGTCCTAGTGGGACCTCTCAGAGATTGTCTAGAGTGGTTCCACTTTGGGCATGAAAACGGGAGTATTTTTCCACCCTCTTCTGCCTGTCAGTGTTACTAAAACAGTGCTTAGCGTTAAAACTGAACTCCCTTCCTAGCTACATTCCATAATCCGTCACTCTTTTTCAATCTCCAAAGCAGAACTTGTGGCCCAAACAAGGGGTTGGAGGGCAACTCTCAATAAACAGACACCATTGAAACAGTCACTACATTTGGGACCCAACCATTCTAACTACTGACATGATCACCCTAAGCAATGGAATAGAAAATACTATAGCAATGCCTGGTCACAAGTTCTGTGATCTTAATTTTCTTCTCCTTTAAAAAGTACCCTCCAGCTGGGGAGGCAACTCTGGGAGATTCCCACTCCCCTGTCCTCCTGTATATGGTGGTGGTAGTGGTTGTGTGCCATAGAGTTGCTTCTGATTCATAGTGATTCTGTATCGATAGTGACCCTGTATAGGCTCTCAATCTTTATGAGACAGAAAGCCTCATTTTTCTTCCACAGAGCGGTTGGTAGATTTGAACTGCTGACCTTGCGATTAGCAGCCTAGCTCATAATGCACTATGCTACCAGGGATTCTTGTCCTCCTTTCCTCTTTGCTGAGTCCTGTCTCTGAGTATTGGTGTGTTAGCAGCAAGGGACTAAGAAATTTTTCCAGTAACTAAGTCTCCAATTATTATATATATGTTGTTGCTAAGTACTGTGGAGTTGGTTCCAATTCATAGCAACCTTGTACAGATTTTCTGAGGCTGTATATCTTTACAGGAGCAGAACACCTCATTGTTCTCTGCGGAACCACTGGCAGTTTCAAACTGTTGACC